ATTTAAAACAAACTGAGATCATTCTAGCTGAGGYAATTTAAGGAATCATCGTGAAAAATTATTCCCTGCCTGAGATATCCAAGAGTGTAGCTAGTATCTGGAAGACTAACAGAAAGGACACATAAGCCTCCACAGCACACGACAGCTGAAGTGAGATGATGATGTGTAYGGACAGGGAAAGGCCTTGTCTGTTTTGTGATAAAGATTTCTCAGTAGCTTCTCTGTTCTCATGTGCAGACAAAAAAATATATATYCCTGTGTGGGTACAGTCCCAGCTCTTTAATACTCTTCACTTGGGCAGACAGAGGGAAAAGGCAGTGTAGTCCTGCTCACAGTGACCATGGCTGATATTCCTCCTGTAGCTTGTTCCATTGTGCTTCCCTACAGAAAAGATGGGCAACCAGACAGCAGTCCTACTACTTTATTTCATCCTCCATGTGAGGAGGCCCAGAGGGGATAATGTAAATGGTTTTAGTTGCAGTTATATCTGTAAATGTTTGTAATTCTATTACATCTATTTCTGTAGTATTTGAGTACCTCATAGTCAGTGTTGATCATGTTATTGTGATTTAATGCATTGTGTTATCTCTGTATCATGAAGGAAAACTAAAAGGCAGACAACAGTGAAGGTCTGTAGGATGCTTTGGGCAGCAGAGATTTGAACTCAAGTCACAGATCTGCAGCCAACTCAGTAGAACAACCTGTTAAATGAAACCATTTATTAAACATTTTTTTCCCTGAATTTTCCTCTCACGAGTCAGAGAGTATGTTATAATTCTGTGATAATTTCATAATTGTATAAAGATATCTAAAGGAGAGAATAGGGAATTATCTCTTCTCTAAATATTATGCTCCATTTCTGCTTATGTGTGACTAAAAAACTGTTAATTTTAGCAAGGTCAAGATGTGCTTAGTCCTGGGAAATGTTCAGTCATCTGCAATGGTCCCCTTTTCAGTAATCAGAGATAGAACAGAAGTGTCATTAGTGAGTCATCTCCGTGTAAATTCACCTGGCAAGGATGGGCAGTATATTTACAACAAATATATACATATATATGTATACACACACACATCCACACACATGTATACATATATATATATATATGTATGTGTGTGTGTATATGTCCAACCTAGCCCTGGTTGGGCAAAAATACAGAAAGCTCATTCTGATACACAACAGTGGAGGAAAGAGAGAGAAATTAGGAAACATTAGATAGGCTAGCTTGTCTCAGAATAATGGTCAGGCATAACACTTATCTAAACAAAAAGGAAAAGAGTTTTTTAACCCCTTTTTATATCCCACTAAGCTTTTGTGATTTCACAAATTAGTTTCATTCCTAGATCTGGAGCTTGCTAAAATGGGAATGGTACCATTTTAGAAAATGTGACATATGAACTTGGGAGGTTTGTAAGCTAATTAATTAGTCTAAGGAAAATTGAATCACTGTGGCTGTCTCTTTAACACATGGAGATAGACGATTGTGGAGAGGAACTTGTTTACATGGAAAGAAGAAGTATAGATGCATGAGTGCTCAGACCATGTCATCTCTCTAATTTGTTAGCCATTTCAAAAACTTATATTACGCTTTTATTCTGTGCCGATTAATATCATATTTCATGTTTAATAAATAGAAATAATGACTGAAGGAATTCTATATAGCTTTAACCAAATACCTGAAAGAGCGTCATATATGTAAGTTTGAGGAAGATTGATTCTAAGGCACCTAGCTCAAGGCCTAGATATTTCTTATAAATTTAGRTTTCTTTTAACACCTAATGCAAATGAATAAAATTGTTATTGTTATTGTTATTTTTCTGTTACTGGCTCACAGTGACCAAAACAGAAATTGGGAAAGACAAAGAGCTTGAAGGTAAATTTGTCATGGTAAAGCAATTATAGTAAGAATTAGGAAGGCAGGACCTTGATAATTCCCTTGATCCCTATGCAAATGTAGTGGTAGACACGGTCTCCAAGGTAATAAATAATATAGACAAAAAAATGTCCCTTTGGTATGATAAACTATCATTTCCTAATTTCTCTCACAAGGAACATTGATATTGCAAAGAGACCAAGCAATCCTCACTAATTTTTCTACATCTAACAGTGGCCCCAGCCATGTTACTCGCTAATAAAACAGTAATACAGAAGAGGAGGACATGGTGCAAACCATTAGCAAATGAGCATTTCATTAGCAATATAAAATGATGGCTTGACTTACAAGGAGCATTCCATATTTGCTAATGGGAGTTAGTGTGAGTTAAAAGCAAAACATTTGAAAGATAATGTCTATTATTCATAAGCACTTGACATTTTGAGAGGCAAGAATATATTTTGAGATGTATTTTTTCACGTTTAAAAAAGCACCTGTATGCTTTGACCCTTCAAAAAAGCATATGACCCTTCAAAGAATCAGTTTCCAGTACAAAAAGCCATATACTACGGCATAAAAAACTTCCTGGCCTGATGCAGGCCAGGATCCCATTGGCCTTCTTGGCCACGAGGGCACACTGCTGACTCATGGTTAACTTGGTGTCAACCAGGACTCCCAGGTACCTCTCCGTGGAGCTGCTYTCCAGCAGGTCGACCCCTAATCTGTACTGATGCCTGGGGTTATTCCTSCCCAGGTGCAGGACCCTGYACTTGTCCTTGTTGATCCTCATGATGTTCCTCTCTGCCCAACTCTCCAGCCTGTCCAGGTCCCTCTGGACGGCAGCACAGCCCTCCGGAGTGTCGGCCACTCCACCCAGCTCGGTGTCATCTGCAAACTTGCTCAGGGTGCATTCCGTGCCCTCRTCCAGGTCATTCATGAACAAATTGAACAGCACCGGGCCCAGTATTGACCCCTGGGGGACACCACTGGCCACAGGCCTCCAACTGGACTYGGCCCCATTTATCACCACCCTCTGAGCTCTGCCATCCAGCCAGTCCTCGATCCATCACACCGTGCACTCGTCTAGTCCACTCTCCCGCAGATTCCGTATGAAGATATTATCGGAGACGGTGTCAAAAGTCTTGCTGAAGTCAAGGTAGACAACATCCACAGCTCTCCCCTCATCCAGCCAGCCTGTCATCCCATCAAAGAAGGCTATGAGGCTTGTCAGACATGACTTCCCCTTGGTGAATCCATGCTGACTGCTCCTCAACACCTTCTTCTCCTTCGGATGCCTGGAGATTCTCTCTAGGATGAACTGCTCCATCATCTTTCCAGGGATGGAGGTGAGGCTAGCCGACCTGTAATTGCCCGGCTCCTCCCTCTTGCCCTTTTTGAAGACTGGAGTGACATTGGCTCTCTTCCAGTCCTCGGGCACCTCCCCTGCTCTCCAGGACCTCTCAAAGATGATGGAGAGAGGCTGAGCAATAACCTCGGCCAATTCCCTCAGCACTCTTGGGTGCATCCCATCTGGGCCCATAGATTTTTGAGTGGCCAGTTTGCCTAAGTGATCCCTAACCCAATCCTTCTCAACCCGCGGAAGGTCTTCCTCTGGCCCATTTATATCTCTTCCACTTGAGCCCTGCAGTTCATAGGGGAAGCAGTAAAGRCAGAGGCAAAGAAGGCATTTAGTAGCTCTGCCTTCTCGGCATCCTCCGTCACCAAGGCCCCTTCCCCATTCAGCAGTGCACTAACATTTTCCCTTCTCTTCCTCTTGCTGTTGACAYACTTATAGAAACCCTTCCTGTTGTCCCTGACATGCCTCGCCAACTCTAATTCCATCCAGGCTTTGGCCTTCCTCATTTCTCATCTGCATTCTCTGACAATGCGCCTGTATTCCTCCCACGTGGCCTGTCCACAAGCTCTACACTCCTTTTTTCTCATTCACTTTGCCTAGCAATATCAATATCAATAAAGGGAAAGTAGGGGAAACTGCAATAGGGGCATTTCCTGAGAGGTCACAGGTTTGTCCTGATGCTGTCTGAATCTTTTTTATTTGCTTCTTTCCACTTAACTTTTTCAAAAAAAATATCTTTTACTGCTGAACAGAAAAAGCAAATTTGGTAGTAAATGGTAAAACATAGGAAAACTGCTTCTCCTCCAAAGTGGATGTCTGCTTTAACTAGTTAGTTTTTTACTAGTCAAATTTTATTCCTGCTCATTTTCACTGATAGTTCTCTTCTGATTTAAGGAATCATCCCAAAGAAAGTTTAACAGCAGCAGTTTTTGCAAGGGAAAGAATTGACGTTCCTTTTTTTCTTTTTTAAACTGTCATTTCCAGCAAAAAATATTTCCTTCCTTTGGAGGCATGTTTGCCTCCTGCCATTCTGACTATGACATTTCCTTTCATTAAGTCACATCAAATACAAACTTCTCACCTCCCTTCACTGATCATTTCTCATATCCTAAACTCCTGAAATTCTCCAAATCCGTCAGTCACTCTACAGCAAATGCCAGATAACTCTGCTGATGTCTATGTTCATATTTTTGACATCCCTGAATGGTGTGATAGTTGTATTTAACAGTACTGAGTCTGTTGCCTTGGTTAATTAATGATATTCCAAATTAAAAAGGTCACTGGAACTAGAATAACTGAATTCTGCTTGTGCCTCTCTCTGTGCCCATGTTTGTGACTGTGTATGCAAGTGTCTTTGCAATGTTTGACTGTTTCTTGCTGATTCTGGAAGATCCTCAATAGCACACAACAAGATATGGTGATTTATTTGTCACAACTGTCACAGCACCAGTAAACAAAGTTTAGGTGTATGAAAAACCTCATCCTTCAAAAATTGTTTGCCTACTTTAATCTTTCAAACCATAAACATTAACCTGTGGTTGCAAAAATAAATCCTGCTTTTAAATTTGCTGTTGTGCTGCTGGTAACCCTAAAAAGTGGTTTAGCATATGTACAGGACTTAAGCAGAGCATGTTGCATTAAATTAAGCTATTTTTGTCAATTCCAGCTTTGCAGCTGTGTAGATTCAAAAAGCAGTCAGCAGGATTTCTCTGCAATAATTGCAGCTTATGGAAAACTGGTGATATTTCATATATTGGTTCTTTATTTTCCAGGTGTGATGGGAGAATACGAACCCAAAATTGAAGTCCATTTTCCCTACACAGTTACAGCTGCTAAGGGAAGTACTGTTAGAATGGAGTGTTTCGCACTTGGCAAGTAAGTACAGTTTCTTCCATAATCAGACAGCATTGTTCATTAAGACGTGACATGCCTAATTTGGGGTTTCATTAGTTTGCTAGATTCCATTTTAACAAGCAGTCCTCCCTGCACACACAAAATAACCTTTTGACTAAGTGGCCAATTATGATTTCCCTTCCCAGTCATTTCCATGGACAGTAATTCATACAAGGAATTTTTTTTTTTTTTTTTTTTATCAGAATGAAAAGTAGTAGTTCTTATAAACAACAAATAAAGTTCATTTTAAAAGAAGACTTCATCAGACTCTCCTATTTATTCACTGTTAGTACAAATCAGTAACTTCCACTTTTTTTCTGCTAAATTATCTTGGTTAAAATTAGTAAGTCTTTTTTTTTTCTCTAATGCATAGTTTATGCATGAGGCGAACTGCAAAGAAAAATGTTCTATTAGTGTCTTCATATACTTTGTGGCAATGTCAATTGTCTAATTTCTGACCTATTAGCACTCCTGAACATTAGTATTTTAATATTCATGTCCAAGGGACTGGTAGTAACCATAGGGACAGAAGGTTTTTAGAAGTACTTCTTTGTAGTTTCATAAGCTCAAATGAGGAGTGAAATAAGCCCTAGATGTTTTTCAGATTACAGAATACATGAGGGAACTGTTAACATTTTGCAAGGATTCTGTTGTGACAGTTACTATCACTACTGTTGCCAAAATAAGTGTGACAAAGATGGTACACAGTCAGACAGATATAGCAATGTTAATGATTCAAGTAAATTATTTTTGTTTTCATATATGTAAGTTGCTAAAAAACAGATGTTCCATTTGTGATATGTCACTAGAGATATATAAAAAATAGAAAAGATACATTTTTTTCATATATTTATACCACAAAATTTGGTGAATGTATGTGTGGACAAGCACATTCATGTGCAAGAAATCTCACTGCACAGGATATAAGAATTCAGATCCATTCTCTAGTTTCTTTTACTCATAGTTTTCCTTCTATTCTTGCTGCTGAATAAAATGTTTATTGTATCTTGTTTGTTTTTCTCTTTCATAGATTAACTAAGCACATACAGTATCTTTATATTCTAGCCTGGATTAAACAATAGCAGAGGAAATGTCTTTGTGTCTCTTGCGGTGGAGTTTTACAATTCAGTTAGTCTAGGGCCAGGCCAGGAATACATTATCCCCATGCCAACTTTTCCTACTTGTTTATCAAAGCAGGAATGAAACATGAGAGAATAAATAAATAAATAAATAAAAGGTGGTTTATTTACCTGAGGTTTACCCCTCCAGACTGCTATTCAAGTCTGATTTTCCAAAAAATTCCAATATTCCAAAACCTGTCTTCATAACCTGGGAGATATTTTGTTTCACGTTTGGAGATTTTTTTTATCCTCATTTTTGTGGTCATTTTGACCCTCACATGTCACTGAATTCAGCAATATCCCTTAACAATTCCTGTTTACTGGTTGGACAAAATGTGTCTACATCTTTTATTTCCCTTGTTGTCTGTTTCTCCAAACATCTGCAATTGTCTAGCTTAAATCCAGAAACCCTTMATGACCAGAAGACCAATACAGAATATTTGTAAATAATTTCAGATAAACTCTGATAATATTTTCTAATTTTATCCATTTAAGCCTAGTGAAGTTCAAGGAGAGACAGRGCACTGTCTAATCAGTCCAACCAAAGTGTTGGAGAGCAAAGACCTTAGATCCTGTAGCAGAAGCAATGAAGGCAATCGATTTTGCAGATTTCTTCCCCAATTCAATGTAAACAGCTGTTTGGAAGGCAAGAAGGAGAGGCAAAATTTTACATGGTGAAATATAAGCTTTGTGTTTTATGTAGTGAAGATAAAGAAAGAGGTATATGAGAGGGGAGAAAAGCAACAACTAGAGAGATTCAAAAAAATGCTGAAAAATGCAAGGGAAGAGATGGTTTGCAGAGGTTGGTAGCTCCAGGCTCTCTTCTGTCAGCAACCCTAGCTACTTTTATGATGGATCAATAGTTGGCAATAGGGCCCCTACAGTCTCTGGGCAATGGCTGAAACAGCAGTAACAAGCACGTTCTATTTTTTTCTTCATTATTCCGGACTTAAATTGTGGCTGCTGAAACATACCAAGTCAGCTATCATTTTCCCAGTGAGGAGGAGGTATGCCAAAACTTGTCTTTCATATCAATCTCTGACAGGCAGGAAAAGCAGCTACAAATACATCTCATTATCAGCACCTTGAGAGAAGTCAGCCAGTATCCAAACAGCCACATAAGAAAGACTAAGTTTAACAGCAATTAACTTATTTCTAGTTTCATATTTGATGGTAATTTCTAACAAACAAAAACAATTCATCGGGACCACCAAGAAATTTAAGGTTATCTAATAAGCTGACCCAATTTACTGCTGCCTTAATGGGCAACTACTTTTACCATAAATGTTCCTTATCTTCTTTTCATAGTCATTAATGGAAAATCAAATCAGCTGTGTGGAAATTGCTTTCAACTAGACATGGTAACAATTACAGGGATGACATTTCAGGTGTCATTTGAAACCTGGAGGCTGAGATGAGAGGTAGAAATGCAAGAAATTTCCAGTTCTTTTTCATTTCTGCCCCTATTTCTTAATCCTAAGACTTTTTACAGCTCTTTTCTTGTTATACTACATTTGGTGCGCATGTCCAATTTTTACAGTCCACAAACCTGTGTGCTGCTGTTTTTCTCATGCTTTAATGTAGCTGCCTGACACTGTCCCTCCACTATCCCCTGTCACTGAATGAGATAGGAATGAGATAGGTTCCACAGAGATTTCCAGTGGTTGGCATTTGACAAACACCCAGAAAATGCCTAGTCTTTAGTTACAGATTATTGATTTATTGATATTGATATTTAGAAGTGCCAGCTACTATGTCTGTTGGAATTAAAACTGAATAAATTGGAGCTGAGCACCTTTTGTCTCCAAACGAAAATCACATTTCAATCTCTTGACAAGCTGAAATCTCCTGAAAAGCAGGTTATTCTGACCCAAACAATATGCAGCTGGTCCAGATACAACTGGAAGTAATATATTACTGATGTCACTTCATCAAGGAATTATGGAATTTAAAATGTTACAGAATTCAAATGCCTGAAAATGGTGTTATTTGTATTAGATAATGCTACTCATAATGAGCAACAATCTTTAGATACAATCTCTGCACAGATCCATGGTTGATTGTTGAGACAGAGCAGAAGACCGGACAGGACAGGCAGAGTTGCCAGTAATAAAAGTAATAAAATTTAATGTAATAAATATATATCAGTTGGTATTATGCAATTAGAGATCTATGATTTGTGGTATTTATCAAGGTCCATTTTTACTGAAAGGTTGTTTTACTACCATATTTGCTGTCATATTCTCACAAGAACTTTGTTTTTTGATTACTTCTTCACTTATATATGCATATATGTCTGCATATGTAGTATATGGCTATATTTTCTGCCACCCATATCATCATGTCATTTGAATTAGGAACACTTAAAACTTTCATTTGTTTTCTAATATGCCAGAGAATTTTTTTTCAAAGGAAAAAATGTCAAAAAATGCTTTCAAAATTATCCAAAATTTGCACTAAACATAAATATCTCTATAACATTAGAAAGGGTCTGCTTTGAATACTACTGAATTGAAAAATTCAAAACACTTACATCTTTTCCGTTCTTTAACCACTAGAGTATTAATATGTTCTTTCAGTTAACAGTTTTCACTGCTTTTGTCAGTTACCTGTTATTTTAAAAGACAAGCTCATTTTTGAAAAACATATTCATGAGATTATTGGTAACCAGATAGTTGTTTTCCACTTCTCTGACAAGTCCATCACTCTGATATCATTCATTATATAAATCAGCAAGACAAACCATGGCCTTGTGTGTAGGTTACAGTAAAGAAACCATGACTTTCCCAGCTGACATACTTACACAAATTACAGTAGTCCTGCCATCTCCTGTTCCCTTAACGCAGTTTTTCTTGTACTGCTTGTTTAGGGTGCTGCCTTTTGCATTTTCTTTCAAATAATGCTGAAATTGCTTGCAAGAGCATCTCAGAGTAACTGGTTTTTTTTTTTTTTTTTTTTTTTTTATGTACACTTTCAAAGAGAAGAGTTATATTGACTTCATTTTGCTCTGTATTAAAAGCACGAAAATGATGGTGCTGATAGGTAAAACAACGTTAATTTCTGTCCCCACAATATGCCATATTCAGTAATGAAGTTCTCAGAAGTTCTTGAAAGAAAAACTCAAGTGGAGCATTCTTAACTTTAGCACATCCTGACTTTGGAAGTATATTTATCTAATAAGTGCCTTTAACGCTATGATTCTAACATGGGACTTAAAAGCATTTACAGATGGGAATGATTGTTTTTAAAGAGCTCAAAATGAGCAAGTTTTCACAGTTCAAACCATGACAAAGGAGTGTTTGTCCAACCTGGCATGAAGTGCTGTAAATTTCACCTCTCTAGAGTGAGCAGAGACTGTTGCCTCCAGAGGGAAGAAGCACAAGAAAAACAAAAAAATGACAGTCCTCTCCTCTCCTCTCCTCTCCTCTCCTCCTCAAATAGCTCTCATTTGGTTTCCATTTTCACATTAACATAAGCCTTCTAGTGTCACTCTTTTGCACAGGTTTTTCGATACCAAATTGTGCGTAGTGCACTCACCTTTTATCACCCTCATTCTTCAAACTTTTTCTGATGGCATTTTTTGGCCATRGATCACACCATGCAGCAATTTCTGTTTTATTTCTGATATAAACCTCATACTTCATTACTTTGTCGAGACAGAAATATATATATAAAAATACATATATGTCTTATGATCATGCCAACAGTCAATTCAGAGTAGGTAATTACATTTTATTTATCACCTAAACAAATTGGAGGATGTGCGCTACACTTTAATCACCAAACTTTGTCAATCTGAGTAACAAGTTAAGACTGGTATGCTTTGCTTTTAAAATAGAATTCCTAAGCCCTGTAGCAAAT